CCCTATCAAAGGCCTTACTGAAATCCATATAGACTACTGCCCTGCCCTCATTGACCTTCCTGGTCACTTCATCAAAGAACTCTAAAATTTGTTAGGTATGATCTCCCATGCATGAAGCCATGCTGACTACTCCTAATTGAACCCTGTCTTTCTAAACGCATGTATATCTTATCCCTCAGAATCTTCTGGAGTAACTTATCTACCACAGATGTTAGGCTTACGACTCTATAATTCCCAGGTTTGTCTTTGCAGCCCTTCTTGAATAAGGGCACAACATTCACTACCCTCCAGGCTTCCAGCACCTCACCCGTGGTGAACGATGATGCAAATATATCAACCAGACCCCAATTTTGTCTTTAGCCTCTTGCAGAGTTATTGGATAAATCTAGGCAGGACCAGGAGATTTAGCCACCTTCATACATTTTAATAAGCTCAACACCCCCTTTTCTGTGATATGAACTGTCCCCAAGATATTGCCACAAACTTCCCCAAGTTCCCAAGTCTTCATGTCTTTCTCCATAGTAAACACAAAGGAGAAATATTCATTGAGGACCTCGCCGATCTCCTGCAGTTCCACACATACGTGTCCATTTTGGTCCTTGAGGGGACCTGTTCTCTCTCTAGTTATTCTTATTCCTTTAATATACTTAAATAATCTCTTTTGGATTCACCTAATCTTCTCAGCCAAAGCTATCTAGTGTCCCCTTTTTGCCTCCTGATGTCCTTCTTCAGTAAACTCCTGTATCCCCTGTATACCTCCAGGGATTCCCTTGATCCCAGCTACCTGTACCTGAGCCATGCCTCCTCCTTTTTTCTGTTCAAAGCTTCAATATTGCTTGTCATCTAGGGTTCCCTACTCCTGCCAACCTTGAATACAGACCTTGAATTCTAGCTATCACACTTTTAAAGGCCTCCCAATTGCCAGAAGTCCCTTTGCCTGCAAACAAGCTACTCCAGTCAACCCCGGCAAGCTACTGTCTAAATTCCATTAAAATTTGCCTTCCCCAATTTAGAACGTGAACCTGTGGACCAGTTTTGTCCTTCTCCATAACTATTTTAAGATTAATAAAACTATGGTCACTGGTCCCAAAGTGCTCCCCCACTGTCACCTCAGTCACCTGTCCTGCCCTATTTCCCAAGAGTAGGTCGAGTTTTGACCTTTCCCTGAGTAGGAACCTGTACTGCTCGAGGAAGCTTTCTTGAACACATTTAACAAATTCCACCCCCCATCTAAGCCTGTGCCACTTCTAAAATTCAACTGATCAGAGATGGAAATGTTATGAATCTTTCTTCCCAGACTCTTCCATCTGGCCACATCCCTCCTTTGAAGCTCACACCTTGTTGAGTATATTCATGATGCCCCTGAGCTGCTCCGCTCTCACTCTGAACAAGTTGTCTAGAGCAAAGGCATCAGGCTCATCTTGTTATGTCCCCACCTTGAAGTTTGAGCTCAGCATGATCTGGTGCTCATCTATCAACATTGCCTCCTCACTCACATCTTCAGCCAATACTGTTCCTCCCTTCTCTCTGAGAGCAAAAAAAAAATCCCAGTCCCTGGTATCCTCCATCCATCTGAGCCCCCTCCTCTGGCTTCTTGTCCTCATGGAATCATAGGCTACTACAGCATAGAAACAGGATCTTCAGAAATGATTACAGCACAGATGAAGGCAATTCAGCCCACCAAGTCTGCACCTATCATCCATAGCAGTTTTCATGTAGTCATCGGGGGCACCTGTTGCCCAGCCCTCACTGGCTTTCAACTGATTGACACTCTAGATCATTTCAGAACCAACCACATTGCTGTGGCTATGGAGTTACTTATAGACCAGATTTCCCTAAAACGAATCAGATGGGATTTCATGACAATTGACAATAGTTTCATGGTCATCATGAGACTCTTAATTCCAGAGGTTTCTTTTAAATTCAAATTCCACCATCTGCCATGGCACGATTTGAACTCAAGTCCCCAGAACATTACATGGCTCTCTGAATTAACAGTTCACTAATAATACCACTGTGCCATTGCCTCCCCTCCCCCATTTGAGAAGATTACAACTGATAGATCTGCGATCTGTGTCACTGCTTCTACTAGGCAGCAGATGGCAAAGTAAATTCAGGATGGATGTTCCTAATAAACAAGGAGGCTAGAACTAGGGTCATTGTCTAAGGATATGAGGTGGGTCATGTAGGACTGAGTTAAGGAAAATGTTCTTCACCCAGAAAGTAGTGAGCCTGTGGATTTCATTACCACAGGATCTAGTTCTTAGGAGCTAAAAGGATTAAGAAGTATGGGGAAAAAACCAGGAACAGGGTACTGAGTTAGGTGACCAACCACAATCATAATGAATGGTGTAGCAGGCTCGAAGGGCTGACTAGTCTCATTTTCTGTGTTTAAGCAACATTCATGATGGATAGAGAGAAGGCACGAGATGAGGTATTTGGATTTCCAAAACGCATTTTATACGGTGCCACATCAAAAGTTACTGCACAAGCTAACAGCCTACGTGCAGGTAACATATGCACGAGAATAAAGGACAAGTTAGCTAATGGGATGCTGAAAGTAGGGATAAATGGGTCTTTTTGATTTTGAAAGCTGTAACTAGACTATTTATGTCTGCATCAATGAATTGATGAGGTGTTTGAATGTATGGCAATTAAATTTGCTGCCGGTAGCAATAAAGGTTGCAAACTAAGTTAGTATGTCATCAAAAGCTTAGACATATCACTTAACAAGATCTAGCTTTTTCAACAGTGTGACAGTAAAAAATGTGCAAAAAGAAATGCAATTTCTGTTGTCCTCTACTTAGATGGCAACAGCTCACCCTGTAGAATTGCAGGACGCCACTGACAGCTACTTCTCTTCCCAAATGACCCCATCCCCCAACCACTGGAAGCTGCATTTACCGTCACAATGGAATGGAAACCGTGGCTGTCAGTTCTTAACAATAATGATAGTGAGCATGGATAGTGACGCTTACTCTGGACCAATGGAACAGTGAGAAGAGAAAAGTGTAAACTTAGAGTGAAAGTCATGTGAAAACTGCAAACAGCGTGAAAGTTTACAAAATGAGAAAATGAGGCATGCAAACCATGAGGAACACAAGAATAACCTGTGAAGAACTCAAAGTGGTGCAGATTAGTAAAACAATGAAAAATTGTGCAAATATATTCTAAAGGCGAAAAAAAAAGGTAAATCCACTGAAAACTGAGGAAAGGTTTGAGTGAAATTTAAGAAAAAAGTGAAACAGGTGAAAGAGAGAAAATACAAATAAGAACTTAAGAAAATGGTCAGAATTGGAAGATGAAAAAATTGAGTGATAAACACAAGGAACTCAAAATGTTGGGTGTGAAACAAGCAAATGTCATACTGATGGGATAAAAGCTAAGTGGGGTGGCACAGTGGTTAGCACTGCTGACTGCTGCCTAGCAGCACCAGGGACCCAGGTTCAATTCCACCCTCAGGCAACTGTCTGTGTGGAGCTTGCACATTGTCCCTGTAACTGTGTGGGTTTCCTCCAGGTACTCTGGTTTCCTCCCACAGTCCAAAAATGTGCAGGTTAGGTGGATTGGCCATGCTAAATTGCCTTTAGTGTTCAGGGATGTGCAGCTTGGGTGGGATGCTCCAAGGGTCAGTGTGGTACTGGTTGGGCCAAAGGGCGGTTTCCACACTGTAGGGATTCTATGAAAAATGTGGACAAAGGAGTGAAAAAGGTGCAAAACTAGTGTAATCAACCTGATCAGAGATGTTATGACACACCTCTGAAGCAGATAGGAATTGAAACCAGGCCTTCTGGTCAAGAGGCAGGGACACTACCACTGTGCCAGAAGAACTCTAATCCTACTGTATTTGTTACTACCAGGCAGTCTCCCATTCAATTACTATCCAGGTCAGAGTCTGCTTAGCTTACAAGTTCAGGTATTTTCAAACTAGTATGGCCAAACATATTAAAAAAATTCACTCAACAAGTTCAAAGGTAGAAACAAAAACACGAAAGAGTAAGAAGTGGGATATTGAATACCTGGGAGATAGTTGGAGAGAGAGAACACGTAGAGGGAAAGAGAGTGGGGTGGGGCAGGTGGAGGGGGATAGATAGAGAGAGGGAAGAGACACAGAGTCAGCATCTTCAGGAGACAGTCAGAAGTCGCATGACACCAGGTTATAGTCCAACAGGTTTATTTGAAAGTCACTTCACCTGACAAAGGAGCAGCGCTCCAAAAGGTTGTGATTTCAAAGAAACCTTTTGGAGTATAACCTGGTGTCCTGCAACTTCTGACTTTGACCATTCCAGTCCAACACCGGCACCTTCACATCAGGAGAGAGAGAGAGAGATGGGGGGGGGCAGGGGAGGGAGGAAGAAAGAGAGAGCGGGGAGACAGAGTCTGCACTTTCAGAAGAGGGAGAGATAGTGAGCACCTTCAGGGGAGATGGAGTGAGTCAGCACCCTCAGGGAGAGTCAGAACTGTCAGTTAATCCTGTTAGATTAGTTGTCTCACAAGTAACACCAGAAGGAGTCTAATGACCCATATTTCTTAAACCGTATGGGGAAAGAGACAAAGCATCTGTCTCTCAGCAAGGGAATGACATCGCAGGTCTGGGGCTGATGATAGTAAAGGTCCATTTTGAGTATCTTTTCCCTGTCATTGGACAATTGAATGAACATAATTAAGGGCATGACTTATATGAGCTATCCAACAGCTCCTTAAATGGACACTTGAGAGGGAAGGGAATGAGGCAGAGGACAGCTCTCAAGTCAATCCATGCTCGGAGGGTGGAAGATATCATTGCTTAAGGCTACAAAGATCAAACTGCTCTGCCTTGTCATCTAACCCAGGCCCAGTAAACCATTCTCATCCACCACAGGTTGTGCGTCTGTGATGTCTTTCCTGATTGTGTTATACCTGTCACTTTTCAACAACCACTTGTGAATTATAACCACTCTTAGTAATCTACAACCCTTGATCAAATCTTATAGTTAAATAATATAGGAAGCGGAGAGAAGTCATTGCACAATTAATATTTTATTTTCCATATTGAATGCTTTTGTGCAATTATCCAGAGGGGAACAGTGTAATGAACAGCTGAAAATATCTGTGAGACCAGTGGTATCCAATACATTGCTGCTGAAACATTGAAATAAAGCAATAAGACTCAGCACCAAAATAACTGATGAACAATATCCCAGACCTGTGATTGCAGCTGCTGCTAATGTCTTCACTGCAATTACTCATGAAGAAGTAAGAAATATCCTTTTCTGGTGTGTTCATGGCTCCGGTCCCTTCAATTGTGTAAAGTTCAAATGCTACAGCCACATTTGAGGATCATTTGACCATTTTCTTCCATGCAATTTGAAAGAACTACAAATATATCATAAAGCATAGTTCTCACAAGTTAAAACTGAGATGTGAGAAAGTGATTAAGATGCTGATGTAAGTAACAGTCAGTTGGTCTGTCTGTCTTGGTTATGAAGGAACATTACATAACACTGTATGAGAAAGCCCTGGATTCATTATTTAACTGTGAATAACCGGAGGCAGAGACATAGGCAGGACAGCAAGGTGCTGATGTTTAAGGAGTAAGACTTTGGGAACAGGGTGATAGCATCCAGCAAATGCTGTACTGATATGCCATTTAGGAAGTTCAAAAATTAAATGGAGTTGATCAACCAATGTACATAATTATAGCGTTCATTATTTTAAAATTATGACACAACTACAAATCATACAGGTAGACCTTTGCAATTCCCATTCTATGTTCAAGTCCGAACCCCAAAAAGCCTTGACAAACTCCTAGCATATACATACCAAAACTGAGTAATTAAACAGGCACCCACACATGACAACTCTCTCACAGGAGATCATTCAACAGTCTGTGCTACATTGAAAAAATTGACAACAGCTGAACCTTTTCAGAACCGAATGACTGGTCAGCACTAGCTTTCAGTCTCACATAAAAATAGAGAAACATTTGTGCTTTGTATTTCAAAATTAAATCTGAAATTCAACATACACTCTTATCTCAAGAGGATTTCCCAATCCCCATGTTGAGTGTAACCTGAATAGGATCAGGAGGCCACAATACACAAACAGCTGCACTGAAGTAATACCTGATCTAGAAGTCACTAGCTCCCTTGAGACTCTTGTGATTGCGGACATGGTCAAGACAGGCCACAGTGCCCTCAGACAGGTCTCAGCAACGTCACTGACATGCAGCGTTCATAAAATCCATTCCCAAGGAGAGCTTCACTGCTTCCAATGGCATGTCATTTTGGCCCAAAAATAAATGAGTAACCATGAATGCTTGCAGATTGTCTCTGATTTAGTTATTAAGAGCTTAAAAATACTTCAACAACTTGAGAATCTCTTTTTTTTTGAAATGACCTTTCTGAATTCGATTTAACACTGAAATGATGCTGAGATCTGTATGGAGGCAGTCACCAGGTGGCAAGTATTTGTTTTTCTCTGACATAATTTTTCTCAATGAACAAACTGCAAAATAAATGGTGACTCCATGATTTAAGCTCCTGACAGCCCTTCTACCACTGGCGCATAACCATCAAAACATCTCAAACATGTAGAGAAGGTAAAAATAAAAATCTTGGTGTAGGAAAGCACCTGCAGACCAGGCTACAGGCTCATTTCTTAGTGCAGGGCTGCTCTGCACGAAGGTGGGAAGTGTCTGCCAACTGGACTGACAGTGTCAAAATCACCAGGTGTTTAACACATCACACTTTCAGCGAGAAAGCAGAATGAACCAGTTCAACACCAAGCAAAGCCAGCTTCAAAATTAGACCTTCAGGAATATGTTAAAAGAAATCACACTGAGGATCTATTGTAAATTTGATTGATTCTTAAGGAATCATTGTTTTTGAAATTTGAGAAGCAGCTTCGTGATGTGAGTTGTTTGGTGACTGTATCCAACTGAAGCTCAGTCCTGACATAATACACCAATTACCAATACACTTCAAATGTTCTTCCTCCAAACCAGTCTCAACTTTGTAAACAGTGAATGCAAGTTCTGTGCTACTAATTGATTTGGCATATCAACATTGTGTGGAATGTGGCAGAGGCTCCCAAGATTCATGATACCTATCCTCAACATTATGCATATTTGTTGAAGGACTCGAGCCACAGAAACTCACTTCCTATGTTGTGCATAATGCCATTCTAAGGTCTGAGCCCAGTATATCTCAACCTCTGCACTGTGCAAGGTGAGGGGTCCAAAACCCAATAGCTCACCTTCGAGTCTGCACCACTCTGCTCGGTTGGCAATCCATGTGTTCTGGGCCGCAGAAATCTGTTTTTGTATCACTGGTAGATAAATGCTGATTTGGGATCTTAATGAGTATACTCATTAATGAGAACATAGATAATAAGCTGATATGTGGACCAGGGGTCATAGGCAAACCTTTGAAGCCCAGAAAGTTCAAGGCAGTCCAAAAACATGTTTAGCTTCAAGTGCAAAAGACTTCTTTATGAGTAACCCCCACATTCGCACACACCTCCCCAAAGACACATTCCCAGTTATGTGCTGAGCACGCAATGCATGTGAATGTGTGAGGGTATGTATGTGCAGCCTGACATTCACAGTTGGGTTGTTCTACCCCACAACCCCATTTCTGTTGAGTGGTTTCCTATTTGGCAGTATCACCATCATCAATTGGGACTTTAATGCATTGAATCTTCTCAATTGTTACCAGAAAGTTAAAGTCATTGGTCGCTGTGCGTGAGTCATCTTTTCCACACAATGTATCTGAATTCAAGTGCAGTAACATTCATGCAACACCCTACAAGGGTGGAAGGCAACAGGGTGAATGAATGCTTCCCTCCTGTCAACAAACAAATGCCAGGCAGCAGTGCGAGCATGAAGAACAGTCCTGCAGAGATTAACAGGACATTACACAGGGATCTTTCTGAGCTGTTCATATGTAATAAAGAACTGAAAGCAACAGTTAAGGATACACAATATAATTAAGTTAATTATTGGTCAGCAAGCACACTACAGAAATATGAGAACCTCATAAACAACTCAGTTGAATAGGTTCATAATTTGTATCATTGTAACACTCAGCTCAGCCTCAACCAGCCCTACCTCACCAAACTGTACTAGGAAGATTTTTTTCAGATAGCTTCATTACCAATTGCCCAGAATTGTACTGAGCTGCACAAATCTGAAGGGCCCAGTTTGTGACCCGAATCCATATTACATTGGCTAATCTGCTACTATTGTCCTTACTGAGGATGAAACGAGCATGGATGGGGGTGGGTTAGAGTGGGGTGTTTTTCCCACCTTGCTAATACTGAGGAAGGATGACGACTCTTCAAAGGTACTTCATTAATTGTTACACATTTTGGATAACTCTGAGGTGATGAAAGGTTTTATAAAAAGGCAAACCTTCTTTTCTCATATTGCAGATGATTTTCATAATCCTGCCCGGGAGAGGAGATTATTGGATGAGTTAAGAGTGGCAATTTAGATTTCAATATTGAATAGGTTCCCTGGGGTAACTCTGGGACTGTGCTATTCCAACTGAAACCCACTCACACCATGCTGTAATGCCTCACTAAAAGCACTCACAAAATAAAGCAGTATACATTGAGGGGACTGACTGCAGTGGCAATTGTGACTTTTCCTGTGTGGAAAGAAGTGATGATGATTGGTGATGAAGATAATCAAGGGGCTTGTGCCTGGAGATGCATAATACAGGATCCTGCAGATTGTTAGAAAGATCCCAGCACACTGTTCAAAACAAAGTGAATGACAATCAAGTGAAGGAGAAAGGATACAATGATATTCCAAGGCCCCAGACGTAACCAATTGGGCCAGAATCCTTTGTACAGAGCCAAGAAACCTTCAGTCTTCCATGTCTAACAACACAAAGCGAAAATATTAAAACAGGAATTGAAGGAGAAGTTGTTCTTACTTCCTCCCACTTTCTACAGACTAAGGGGGTGGCCACGGGAACCTGCATGGGCCAAGCTATGCCTGCCTCTTTGTAGGATACGTGGAACAGTTCCTCTTCTGCAGCTACACTGGCACTATCCCCCACCTCTGCCTCTGCTACATCGATGACTGTATTGACGCTGTCTCATGCTCCCACAAGGAGCTTGAACAGTTCATCAACTTTAACTCAACTTTACTCTCCGCCACTTCTGCCATCTGCAATCCGACCCCACAACCAAAGATATATTTCCCTCCCTGCCCCTACCTGCTTTCCATAGAGGCCGCTCTCTCCGCGACTCCCTCGTCTGCTTCACACTCCCCACTAGCCCCACTACCCCCAGCACCTTTCCCTGCAACTGCAGGAAGTGCTACACCTGCCCCTACACCTCTATTCAAAGCACCAAACAAACCTTTCACATCTGACAGAGGTTCACCTGTACATCTGTCAACGTGGTCTATTGCATCCGCTGCGGTCTCCTCTACTTCGGTGAGACCAAGCAGAGGCTCAGAGACCATTTTGTACAGCACCTGCACTCTGTTCGCGACAAACGACAACACCTTCTGGTCGCAAACCATTTCAATACCCCCTCCCATTCCCTGGGCGACATGTCCATCCTGGGCCTCCTCCAGTGTTCACAATGAGGAGCAGTACCTCATATTCTGCCTTGGGAATCTACAACTCAATGTTCTCAATGCTGGCTTTACCAGTTTTAAAATCTCCCCACCCCAGCCTCATCCCATGACCAACCCTCCCTCTCATCCCTGCCTCCTTGACCTGACACAACTTGTCCATCTTTTCAGCCTGAAACGTCAGCCTTCCTGCTCCTATAATGCTGCTTGGCCTGCTGTGTTCATCCAGCTCTGCACCTTGTTGTCTCGGATTCTCTAGCATCTGCAGTTCCTACTATCTCTTGTCCATCTTCTCTCCCACCTATCTGCTCCTCCCACCTCACTGACCAATCCCCGCCACTGCCTACCTGCACTCATCTATCACCATCCCACCTACCTTCCCCAGCCCCATCCCTCCTCTCTATTTATTTCGGAGCTCCCTTCCCCGTCCCCCATTTCTGAAGAAGGGTCCTGACCCGAAATGTCAAGATTCATAGTTACCACTTGATTCTTGATTCCAGATATTTTTCACTGAATTCAAATTTCATCATCTGCTGTGGTGGGATTCGAACTCAGAACATTATCTTGGTCTCTGGATTAACATCCAGCAATAATACCACTAGGCCACTGCCTCCCCACCTGTCCTATATCCTTGAATGTTATGATATTTCAAGTGCTCATCCAAACTTTTATTTGAAAACTGGTAAGGTTTCTGGCTTCCACTACCTTCCCAGGCAGTGCATTCCAGATTCCTACCACCCTGAGTGAAAATGTTCTTTCTCAAACCTCCTCCGAATCTCCTGCCTCTTACCGTAAAACAATGTCCCCTTGTGACTGACCCCTCAAACGAGGGGAATAGATGCTCCTTATTCACCTTGTCCATACCCCTCATAATCTTATACACCTCAATTATGTCCTCCTTCACCTTTCTCTGCCCTAAAGAAAACAATTCACGCTTTTCTAGTCTCTCCTTATAGCTCAATTGTTCCAGGCAGCATCCTGGCAAACCTCCTCTGTATCTCCCTTAGTGCTACTACATCCTTTCTGTAGTGAGGTGATCATTCACTCTCTCAGGCATGCGTTCGCTCGCACGACTCTCACACTCGCGCACGCACTCACTTGCACTCGCGTGCCCGCTCCCACACATACACTCTGTTGCAATCATACGGACACAGTGCTACTACATCCTTTCTGTAGTGAGGTGATCAGACCTGCACAGATTGTGCCCTATTACTAAGCCAGTTTCTGATCCAACTCACCAAGTTTCCCTGAATTCCATGTGCTTTAACCTTCTCAATCATTCTCCCAGGTGGTACCTTGTCAAAAGCTTTGCTAAATTCCATTTAAACTGAACTTCCCTCATAGTGGGTAAAAAAATATATAAAGCACACCAAATATGTACATGTGCACGCATGCATGTGTCCGTATGATTGCAACAGAGTGTATGTGTGGGAGCGGGCACGCGAGTGCAAGTGAGTGCGTGCGCGAGCGTGAGAGTCGTGCGAGCGAACGCGTGCCTGAGAGAGTGAATGAGCAAGAACAATATGAAAGAAAACAAAGACATGACAGAACAAAAAGAGAGGGTAGAAGAGGGAGAGTAGAATGAGGACAGGACAGTAGAGAGGTGAGAAGAGAGAAATGAGTGATGTTAGGAGTTCAGGAACAGGCTGTTTGTCAGTACATAGATTACAAAGTCTCCCAGCAGCTTCTTCCAAATCGTGACAGGAATTACTAGGAAGATAACTGATCTATCCAATCATATTCTGGGCTCTACTCAAGTCTCACACATGGACTTATAGTTTTGGTTGCCATCCATAGTTCTGATGGACATGAATGAACATTGCACTCAGTTCCTGCCTACTCTAATTTGTAAACCTGTGAACAGTTTCTTACAATAGTTCAGCAGTTAATAAATCAACCCCAGCTTGGACTTACTTGTAGAAGACCATCCAGAGTCCCCTTGTAAATTACGTGAGTCCCTGAAAGCACTTTCTGGTTCATCATGCGAGTCCGCACTACATCAACCGGATTGGAGGCCAAGGCACCAGCTAAGCCACAGGTAAAGCTTGATCTGCATCAACAACAAACTCCAACATGATGTACATATTCCAGCAATTACAGATAACTGAAACATTTATTGAACACCTGAGAATCAGATTAATTCTGCTGCAATGGATAGACATAAAATACATTTGGGCAATTTGCACAGACCTCAGTAAACATGAACTCAGGATGGTTAGGATGAAACAAAATCAAACATCACAGCAGGCCACAGCCATAGAGATGTACAGCACAGACACAGACCCTTTGTTCAACTCGTCTATGCTGAGCAGATATCCTAAATTAATCTAGTCCCATTTGCTAGCATTTGGCCCATATCCTTCTAAATTCTTCCGATTCATGTACCATCCAGATGCCTTTTAAATGTTGTAACTGTACCAACTGTGACCACCTCCTCTAGCAGCTCATCCCACACACGGACCACCTTCTGCATGAAAAAGTTGCCTCTCAACTCCCTTTTAAATATTTCTCCTCTCACCTTAAACCTATCCCCTCTAGTTCTGGATTTCTCTATCCTGCTAAGATGACCTTGGCAACATGCCATTCTGATGCCTCGCTGTCAGCTGCAGAAATGTCTGTGCCCCTGACTTGAGAGTCCCCTATCACCATTGATCGCTTGGAACCTGATATACCCCTCGTTACAGTAGAGCCGGTCACAGTACCAGTTAACCTGGCTATCAGTGCTCCCCTGGGATTCCACCGCCTCCTATATTTTCCAATACAGCATAGTTTTTTGAGATGGGAATAGCCACAGGAGACTCCTGCATTTACCTGCCTACCTCTCCTACATTCTCTAGAAGTGGCCCATTTACCTGACTGCATCTGTGGCTTTTCTGCCTTCGTGAAACTGCCATCCTTCAAACCCCTGGTTCCTGTAAAATTCCTCCTTCCCTCTCACTGTCGCTCCAAACAATCCATGCTATCCAAAAATATTTCCCGCAGATAAAATTGTCAGAAACACTGAAATTCTCCCAAATCTCCCACATTCAACAGGAAGAGCATGTTACTATTATAATGGCTATCTCTGCACCTTAATCTACAGACCCAGAGTATAGCAGTCTTGCTGCTCTAAAAACACTGCTCTAGGATAACTTAATACTTTTATTTTTTTTTAAAAATTGAGTCGAATCTCAGTAAAACATGGAAAAAGTACTCTCACCCTACCCACTATTCTAGATTTAGAAAAAACGAATAAGATTTATAAGTTTCATGTGCCTTAAAAACAAACACTTAGCTGCTGACACTCCTAACAGTAAGTAGTTCCGATAATAAGGTCTCTGCACAGTCAGCTGTAAATTTCACTGTTTGTTTTTCTTGGACAGAACTCTGATTTCCAAAGATGTCTGTACTTTCGCAGTCAGTCAGCTGTTGAAGTTTGCTGCTTGGTTTTTTGATGAACTCTGGAGCCATCCGCTGATCTCCCACATGGTCTCTCCCAAAATGCTGGGTCTCTCTCTTTCCTCCCATTTAAAGGAGTTAAATTGCAGTATTTTATTTTTTTTTAAAAATGTTCCAAAAACAAAGCAAAAACTTATAAAAACTGTAAGTATTGCTCCAAGAAATCAAGGAAATCAGCTCCAGCACTAAAAAACCTCAAAAAAAAGCTCTTACGACCACGATTCTCTTCCCATGTAGCAGTCACACAAGCCAAACAGCTAAGCGCTTGTGTTGCTGAATTGATCGTAATCTGAGTCTTCATCAGTAGCTTGAATACCTAGTAACTTCAGTACCACTCTGAGCTGCTCAACAACATGATAGAGGAGATATAGCTGGCCTCACAAGGCTACAAGATTAATAAAAACAACAAGCAGGCTCCAGACGAGAGTTTATGACAGCATCTGGAAAACAGGGATAGTAGATTAAACCAGAGATACCAGATACCCAGCCTCCAAGGAACCTGTATTTTGATTAATGTAAACAGACCATATTAGAATTCAAGTAATGTACTGCCTAAGTGCTTCTCAATGTATGAACGTCTGATGATTTCTTGGTTGGGCAGAGTCCTGATTCAGAATCTGAGGTAGAGTTCTCCCAACCCATTAGCAAAGAATAAATGATTGTAACTTGTACCTGACACTCCTGAGATAACTCCATAGAATAATCTAATGTAACATAGCAAGAGACATAAGAATTGACTGTAAAAGCTTCTACAGGCATGTAATCAGAAATCTTTGGTTCAGATGAATGTGGTCTCTTAAAAGTAGAATCAGGAATATCTATGATGGGGAATACAGAAATGGTGGATACGCTTTTTGATTACTTTGTGTCTGTTTTTCCTGAGGATAGTACAAGAAATCTCTCAGAATTAGAGATCCAAGTGACTAGAGGATGAGGAAATGAAGAAAATTAGTATTATTAAGGAGGTTCTGTATTAGAAATTAATGGGGTTAAAAGTTGATAAGTCCCTGAGAATTGATAGTTACAACCCAGACTGTCGAAGGAGGCAGCGGCGGAGATGCCTGATGCATTGGTAATCATTCCTGCAGATTGGAAACTTGCAAATGTCACCCCACTGTTTAAGAAAGGTGCAAGGGATAAAACAGGGAATTATAGACCCTTCAGCATTTTATCAGTGGTAGGGAAAATGCTTGAATGTATCATAAAGATCATAGACACAGGAGCAGAATTAGGCCATTCAGCCCATCAAGTCTGCTCTGCCAATTGATATGGCTGATACGTTTCTCAAGCTCATTCTCCTGCTTTCTGCTTGCAACCATTGATCCCCTTACTATCAAGAATGTATCTCTGCCTTACATACATTCACTCACTTGGCCTCGACAACCTTCTGGAGCAATGAGTTACACAGATTAAACACCACAGGCTGTGATAATTAGATGCTTGGATAAAAATGATCCAATTGTGCCCAATCAGCAACAAAATCATGACTGGAAAGTCATGTTTGTCAAACTTGTTGGAATTCTTTTGAAGATATTGCTAACAAAACTAATAAACAGGAATCAATGAATATAGCATATTTGGATTTTCAGAAGGCTTTTTGAGAAGGATCCTGCAGGAACAAATGTAATATTTCTAAATTTGTAGGTGATGTATAGCTAAGCAGGAGTGTCTGATATGAGGAAGATGTAAAACATTTTCAGGAGGATTTCGACAGGCTTAGTGATGGGTCAAGAATATGGCACATGGAATAAAAGGTAGAAAATCCACTCTGGTAGGAAGAACAGATGTGCAGATCATTTCTTAAGTAGTTAGAGATGGGAAAATATAGATATGTAAATAGTCTCGGATGTCCTTGTCAATAAGTTACAGAAGGTGAACTTGTAGACGTAGTCAACTATCAGGAAGGTGAGTGGAATGTTAACCTTTGTCAGAGGATTTGAGTACAGGAGTAGTGACATATAAGATGCATTCATCCAGAAAGCAAGGTGCCACACAAAAGGTTGCTGCATAAGGTAAAGGTGCACCTCATTACGGATAGGGTATTTGCATGGATCAGCACTGGGTAACTAACAGAAAGCAACAAGTGGGGATAAATGGGTGTTTTTCCGGTTTGTGATCAGTGGCTAGTGGTGTGCCTCAGGGATAGGTGTTAAGCACCACGACTGTTTACAATTTACATAGATGATTTGCAGTTGGGGACCAAGTATCTTGTGTCAAAGTTTGCAGATGACACGAGTGGTAGAACAAAGTGTGCAGAGGACACAAAGTCTGTAGAGGGATACAGATAGGTTAAGTGAGTGGGCAAACACCTAATGGATGGAATGCAATAAAAACCGAAAGAACTGTGGATGCTGTAAATCAGGAACTAAAACAAAGTTGCTGGAAAAGCTCAGCAGGTCTGGCAGCATCTGTGAAGGAAAAAATAGAGTTAACATTTCAGGTCCGGTGACCTTTCCTCAGAACAGGTTCTGAGTAAGGGTCACCGGACTCCAAATGTTAACTGTTTTTTCCTTCACAGATGCTGCCAGACCTGCTGAGTTTTTCTAGCAACTTTGTTATTGTTGTTGTTGTGGATGGAATACAATGTTGGTAAATGTAAAGTCATCCACTTTAGTAGGAATAACAGCAAAATGGACTATTATTTAAATGGTGAAAAATTACAGCATGCTGCTATGCAGAGGGACCTGGGTGTCCTTGTGCATGAATCACTAAAAGAAGGCAAATGGAATATTGTCCTTTATTGCTGGAGGAATGGAGGATAAAAACTGAGAGGTAATACTGCAGCTGTATAGCGTATTGGTGAGGTCACACCTGGAATACCATGTGCAGTTTCGTTCTCTTTACTTGAGAAGGATGTGCTGGCACTACAGGGGGTAGAGAGGAACACAGAACATAAGCTGTATGGCACAGGAACAGACACCTCGGCCGACAATGTTGAGCCAAACATGACGCCGAATTAAACTAATCCCTTCTGCCTGCTGTTGGTCCATATCCCTCCAAGATTCACTAAGTTAATTCGCAGTTGAAAGGGTTGGCTTATGAGGAGAGATTGAATAGACTGGGACTATACTCATTGGAATTTAGAAGAATGGGGAGGGGGTACCTTATAAAAACAAATAAAATTATGAAGGGAACAAATAAAATAAAAGCAGAGAGATTGTTTCCACTGGCAGGTGAAACTAAAACTAAGGGATATTGCCTCAAAATCAGGGGGGAGTAGATTTAGGACTGAGTTGAGGAGAAACTTCTTCACCCAAAGTGTTGTGAATCGGTGTAATTCCCTGCCCAGTGAAGCAGTTGAGGCTACCTTATTGGATGTTTTTAAGGCAAAGAGAGATTTTTGAACAGTAAAGGAATTCAGGTTACGGCAAGCAGCCAAATAAGTGGAGCTGAGTCCATGAAAAGGTTCTTATTGAATAGCGGAGCAGGCTTGAGGGGCCAGATGGCCTACTCCTGCTCCTCTATCTCTTATGTTCTTATCATTAGTAAGTTTGAGAATGACATCAAAATTGGTAGTATAGTAGACAGTAAAGGAGGTTATCAAAGTCTGATTCGGGATCCTGATCAACTGGGCCAATGTGCCAAGGAATAACTAATGGAGTTTAATTTAGA